TAGTCGGGTAATGAAACATCTGCAAGCAAACAACCAAGCTCAGAGAGCACCAAGGACTCCACAGTTCAACCCTGAGCTACAGATATTGTCTTCTATTGAAAAGTAAGAGGGAACAGAAAGTAATGTTTGTAACGTTCTCTCTCTTTTACTAATGTAAGATGACAACGTGAATGTATCTTGGCATCTTTAAGTTTTGAACATTATTTCCTTGTCCTTTACTTTTGGAAGTGAATCCCTACTCTTAATGACTTTTAAAGTGAATAGCAGCAAATCAGCAAATGAAAGTAAGTCTTTCTTACCATATGCAAAAGTTCTCCTAGTAAGATGGTTGCTCTGACAGATACATGATCATCACTGCTTGTAATTACTTCGACTAGACCCTGGAATAATTAAGAAGTGAAATTCTAGGTATATAGTGTACATATGACACTCATGTTGCTTTACATTGAACGTACTATTCATACACACACACTGAACATACAGGGATAATTTTTTATAATTGAATTTAAAATTTGAACTTACTTCTAAGAGGCCATTTCTAATGAAAGCAGAAAGAACCAGGGCCAAATAATTGTCCATGAGGTCAGGCCTAGATAAAATAAAAAAAATAAAATAAAAAAGCCACAAACCTTCATGTTAACCTTTTTTTAACCTCTCATATTATCAAATTGATGCAAAAATGTGTTTCCTGTCGGGTGGCTAATAGTTAAGTACCTGGATCTGGCTCGGTGAGGTAATATAACTTTAGCTTCTGCAGCTACAAAGCCATCAGAAAGTCTCCAGCTGTCCTGAAAATGGCTTGGATCTGCACAAACAAAAATATGAAGTAAAAAAGTCTAAGTTTAAAGGTGGGCCACAGAATACCTGTAAAATTATTGCACAGGACCTCTCATTTTATTTGGCATTATTATTTCTCATTGTTTTCTTAGCAGTTTTCTTCCTATTCTGCAGTGATGGAATATATTTACATAAATACTGGGTAATGACAGTGATGGTTCAAGTATAAATTATTTTTAAAAAGTATTTCAAATACTAGCAATTTAGACCACAAATGACTTCCCTCAAAGGGGCCCTATATATATCATAAATAAAATGCTTACAGCTTTTTAAAGTCACAATTCAAGTTCATAAAAGAAAGATTATTGCATCATTATTGCAATTTAGCTGGGGTTAAAGCCCCAGTACAGCAGCAGGTATAAGAATGCTCCTCAGTCATTCCAGCAAATAACATCGAGCATTTCCCCAGTTCTAATACTAACCTACACTGAGAAGTGCTTCTATAAATTCTTCTGTCACAACAGGAAGAGGAAGGCGAAATATATCATATAGAACTTCAAGCAAGCCTCGCTGTAACATAAACAGGAATATGATTACAAAGATGAGCAGAAATGTTTTTTATATGAAGCTATTAGTCAAAGCAAATACAACTTAGACATTAAAAAAATATGGACTACTACCTTCAAGACAGCTGATCTCCTGTCACAACTGCCAAAATTTTAACTGTCTGTTAAACATTTACCACAGGGAACTTTTTTTTTTTTCAAATCAGTGGGCACATTTTGAATGTTGAGAACATGTGATGGATGCACTGACACTCTAGCTGTCATAGGATGGGACTGACCATTCACAAAATGGCTATCATGGTAGACGTGACATCTAAAGCAACAACCAGTTACAAGAATGCAACTTGGCAAAATTGGCTTTGTATTAGGTCCTCTAGCTCCCTCTCCCCAGGGTACTTTGTACCAATCTGATTTACTTTTGTTCTTCTGAAGAAAGGGGAATAGATAGGCATACTGCACAATAAAGCAATAGATTGCAGTCACCAAATGTTATTTTCAAAGAATGCTTTGTGACCTATAGGCATTCTTGGTAATAAAAATGATGTGTGTGGTTGGTGCTTGGCTTTCCAACGTTTAAGCTTTCCATTTAATTTTTTTTTTTTTTGGTTAGTTAAAATAAATCTAGAATGTGTTTTAAAAGTTGCATGGAGCAGAGAGTCTGGTAGATATCATCTAAAAACATACAGATACCCACAAGTACTGTGTTGGGAACTTAAGATTTATAGTAATTAAAAATACAGGAAATAAAATGAGATTTTAGGCTTCCTTTAAGGTTTCCCTGAAATAGAACAAGGGATATAACTCGTCTTTATACAGATTCAAAACCTGTGGTGGAAGAATGATCTTAGTGTTCAACAGTGCCATTTTCTGCTAGGCTGATCTACACAACAAACCATTGGAAGAACATGAAGGTACACACAACTTTTGAACTCCAACCTCAAAGGGGGGATTATCACTTGGTGGTAGTATGGGTGGCAGGTCTCCACAGAGGCATCTATCCTGTAGAGTAATCTCCACTCTGCTGTACGATATACACCAACACTGGCATGTTTTAGCAGTCTTTTTTTTTTTAAGTCACCTTTTTATAGTGGTCTTTCTCAGCCATTATCTTCCCCCAATATCTCTAGTTTTAATCAACTGCTTTTACTTTGCTTTTGCTCTAAATTTTTTACAATGATATTAAATTGGTTTGGGATGCTTTGTAATAGAAGCTCTAGAAAAATATTTGTAATAAATAAAAAAAAAAACAATCTGCATTGGGCTGAAATAATGCATGTCAGTGAATATATGTCAAAAGGAGTAAATTAAGTCTATTGAATATGATGGTAATTCCTCATGCTTCCATTATGGAAAGTACATTTAAAGTTTTTACATTCTACTGTACTTTAAACCAAAATGTGATTTATAGCCGCTTAAAACCAAATTTGCAGGCAATCCCCATAAATACAGAGGATGATGCCTAGCAATGCTCCTGACACATCCTCACTCAGGTGCCTAAGAAAATAATCATACATTTCCTAGATTAACAACATTGTGAGAAGTGAATATGGCCTGTGAAGAACATGTAAATCTTGCAATTCTAACTGCAGAAGTTGAAAACATACCCGCACTTCCATGTTAGGTATACATAACACCCCAATAAGAGATTGGATCCCAGAATTCCCAGGCTTACATAAACTAATTATACCTGAAAACAAAATGAAACGCATAATTATATAATGGAAGAGTAGGATTATGTATTATGTTTTTACATTTGAACACATAAACAGAGACTTCTGTTAAAGTTTCAGAGGCTATTAAAGCCCAAAAAGTTGGCAGCCAATAAATTCAAACAAACATTTATAGTAAAACAATAAAGAACAAAATGGATGCATCAATACAACAGATAATTTAAACCATCTACTTGTCCAGTGCACGTTATTGTTTTTTCAGCACTGAAAGCTAAGCACTTAATTCATCCTTTTTTACCTGAAAAATTTTCCAATCTACAGATTGCCCACACTAATTCCCCAAAGTTTTGTTTCAAGGAAATTCTGCTTTATCTATGAAGCATATTATTCTACTTACTAACTTCGGTTAAAGTGAGAACAAATGGCCTACCTGCCCAAGATCGAAATGCCGCCACAATTCCCATTTTACTAGCGGAAAGCCGTGCTTCTCTGTCCTCTCTGTTATAAAAACATTAATATGTAAAGACTCTGGAGTTATACCAAAATTGTTATGTTTCATTGTTTTTTAAAATAGTATCACTGTTAAGAGCATATTCCACAAATTAGGAATCTGGGAATAGCAGAGAATGGTTGTGTACTTACTTGAGCTGTCCTTCTGCAGTGTCTGGATTGTGTCTGTAGTGAAAGTCTGTGTATGGAGCTAAAATCCGCTACAATAAAGAAGATTAGTGTCATTTCTATTACCACTGTGCATATTATTATGGTATTTAAATCTATTTATATGCTTTTGAAAATAAACCCCTCTTTTCCTATATAATTATCTATATTTTTGCCAATCAGAAGCTTCTTACTTTTTATTAGAACTGGCATGAGCAGTCAATCTGGGCTTTAACATGAAAACATGCATCTTATCCCTACATTTAAACTCAAGTCATCTAGCTTCTTACTTTTAAAGGAAAGGATGCAGAAAGATAAGGGATTGACAGATGCTATGAACCAATCTGTTTTCTAACTTTATAAATACAGTATCAATTTATTGTGAGAAAAAGGATAATTCATATATACAGTACTGTGCAAAAGTTTTAGGCAGGTGTGAAAAAATGCTGTAAAGTAAGAATCCTTCCA